GTGCTGACAGCTCGGAGCCTGCAGCCTGCTTCAGATTGTCTCCCTCTCTCTGTCCCTTCCTCGCTCTTGCTCTGTCTCTCAAAAATAAATGTTAAAAAAAAATTTAAAAAAGGAGACTGCTAAGGTGAAGGTCAGCGGGGCAATGTGGAGAGATGGTACGATACGGGAATAAGTGTTCTGTAGGAACTAGATCTCCTAGGCTAATGTTCCTCGGAGCAGGGGGCATCATATCGGTTTCTGACGAGGAAGAGCAGCAGAGTTTAAAAAAAAAAAGGAAAAAGAAAAAGGTTTTTGAATTTGTGGGAAGATGTGTAATGGATTAAGTGATACTAGATGTCTCATTATGTTTATGAAAAGAACATGGGTGTAGAATTAGCCAGGCAGTGTGATCTCGGGCACGTCTCTTAACCTCTTTAACCCTCACCTTTAGAATTTTGATCTTTAAGAGGCAGATTTTAACAATACCCGCTTCAGAGGGTTCTTATGAGAAATCAATAAGGTAACGCATATAGAAGTCTTAGCCTGTGCATGGCAAATGGTTTTCAGTAAGTGTTAGCTGCCTTCGTGCTATTCTTCCGGCTGGACACAGATTCAGGATGCAGAGGGATTTGTGTTTTGTGGGCTGTGGTGAATCAAGGCATTAGCTGTAAACAGCAAGGCCAGCGGCCCTGATTCTGTATTTGCCGATGGTCCATGGTTAAAGCAAGTGGTGGTGGCTTTTCAAAATCCCCCTTTCCCACAAAACCTTTGACCTGTGTTGCTAAGGATGTGCTTGGCCTCACAGATAGTTGCCATAGAAACTGTCTGAATTTAGTCTTTGTGCCTGAGGGGAACCCCAACAAATAGCAAAAATTCTAAGCAGATCTTTGGATCAACCATTTCAGGTAGGGCAGCTAAAATGTCACTGAATTATCTAGAAATACACTCCAATCCTTTTCTAAGGAGCGTTTGTGAGGAAATCTATCAAATGTGTGTGGCGTGGTGGTTTTAGGCAGTTGCGGTTATAAACTATGGTTTCCCTCCAGCAATATTATGATCCAGGATGTGATATTCATTAGTGGAATTACGTCCATGCACAGAGGAAATATAGGCAAGATTTGTTTGAGGGGCTAAAGTCCTCCTCTGGCATAATCCCAGCATTAGTGCCTTTTGCCTTGATGCATTCAGATAAAGGCTTTGTCTCACGACTTCGCTTGGTTGTGAAGGCTGCTTCTTGAGTATTATGGGGGCCTCCAAACGCCAGGGATGATGAAAGGAGACGTTCTACAGGACAGTGCTGAAAGCTCTGACTAAGGGAACGAGGTGGCAGAATGAATTTTTATGTGACGAACACTGTTCAAACTATTAACTCATTGAACCCCATAAATCTCAAAGGTAAGTACTATGATCATCCCTGCTTTACAGAGGAATACAGACAGGTTGCTGGAGGAGCCAGGATCCAAACCAACCAGTCTAACTCCGGGGTCCGTGTTCCCAACAACCGCACTGTGGGGTATATTTGTCTGCAAATAAATCATGGAACCCTAGGCATGGCAGCAGAGAGCAATTACTTCTCTTGCTCACTGGAAACCTTTCTGTGCTATGACTGACAAAATAAGGGATAAGTGCATTGCTACTTTTACGTTTTAGATTCCTTAAAGCATCCCAGATGGTGGCCTGTCTGAGCAACTGACTAAAATAAGGCATTTATTTTATTTTCATTTGCTTTTCTATCATTCAATTTATATGTCTTTGGGATATTAAAAGCACTAAAGAAGTCAGCTCAAGGAAGAGGTGATGTGTATTGGCCAGTCCTTAACCTATTTACTGAGCAGAAATCTGTTAGTGTATTTAAAAGAGAAGCAAGCCTTTTCACCAACGATAAAAATGTATTACTTTGCATCAAAACAAATCTTTAAATTCCAAATTAACTTCCTTTAACAATTTGTGTTTATTCTGAAAGCTCTTATAGATTGGACAAAATTCATAGGATATCAGTGTTAGACAATTAAAATGTTTTAGAATTTAACAAACATCTGTTGAGGGCTTAATATATGCAAGGCATAGTATGACAAGCTGTGAGAGGTAAAAAAAAAAAAAAAATTTTTTTTAATTAGGCCTCATGGCGCCTGGGTGACTCAGTTGGTTGAGCGTCAGACTTTGGCTCAGGTCATGATCTCGCAGCTTGTGGGTTCGAGCCCCGCCTCGGGCTATATGCCAACAGCTCAGAGCCTGGAGCCTGCTTTGGATCTGTGTCTCCCTCTCTCTCTGCCCCTCCCCCGCTTGCGCACACTTTCTCTCTCTCTCTCTCTCTCTCTCTCTCTCTCTCTCTCTCTCAAAATAAACATAATAAAAAAATTTTTTTAAATAAAAAAATAAAATTAGGCCTCTGTCTTGAAGGATTGTGCTTCCTAGTAGAGGAAATAACACGGATATATAAATAAATGATAAAAAAATAAAATGCAGGAGGGGTTTCAAGAGGAAGATACATCTGGCTGGAAGTCACTGACGATTTCATGAAGGAAGTAGGATTTTGGTTCTAGCTCCGTGAGCTACCCCTTATTTGCGTATCCCAGTTCTTAGCATGGTATCTGGCATATGAGAGCTTTTTATAATAATTCAATGCTTTTGAAATAAATGAACAAGTTGGAACTAGAGGTAAGGTATGACAAGTAGTATGAGTAGAGGTCAGGAAGGACAATCTTAATCCAGCTTCCTGATGCAAATATTATCTGTCCCTTTATTGCAGCTGGCCTTTTGCTGGGTGGGGAGGACAGCAAGCCCCGAAGCATGGAGACAGGAAATCTCGGGTGCAGAGTCCATCCTGGTAGACAGCTTTACTGAGGGTGGGAAGGGAGTTGGAGATAAGGCTGGAAGAGCAAGTTGGGACCAGTATTTGAAAGCTCTTGAATGCTGTGGAGCTTGAGGAGAATGATCCCCAAGTGTGCCACTATCATGTATATTTTCACTTCTCTTACAAGTATTTTTTATAATAATTATTATTTTTTGTTACTTTTTTTTGAGAGAGAGAGCGAGAGAGAGAGAGAGAGAGTGCACACACAAGTGGGAAAGGAGCAGAGAGAAAGGAAAAGAGAGAGAATCTCAAGCAGGCTCCACACTGTCAGTCTGGAGTGCACCGTGGGGCTTGAACCGACAAACCATGAGATCATGACCTGAGCTGAAACCAAGAGTTGGACATTCAACTGAATGAGCCACCCAGGCACCCCTTCTCTTAAAAACATTGGTGACAGCTGATCATGTGAATTTTTCCAATGTGAAAAAACCAAACAAACCTAGTTAGATTTAATAATTGATTCATATATATATATATATATATATATTTAGTATTGCAATATGCTTCAGCCTGGCATTGTTATTTATTTCCATGTGTTTCCAAACCACATAGGCTAAAGCAGTAGAAAAATGTCTTGTTTGTGTTTAAGATAATGAGCCAATTCTAAAATGATGTTTGAACACAACGACCAAATTAATTCTGTTGCAAAAGCTCATTTCTAAACATTCATAGAATTTATGAATCTGATTTTCCTGAAGGGTTTTGATTCTAGCTCTTCCTTAACATAGCTGTAGAACCTTGGGAATAGTTGCTTCATTGATTTAGCATGTAGAAACAATATATACATTTTATGTATCTCCATACCTCTGTTCCTATATCTATATCTCTGCAGCTCCCACATTATACACAGTACAGTAGAAAGAGTTGAAAGAGGTTTAGGTCTTTGGGATCTGACAGATCTGGCTGGAAGCAATGCAGTGTCCCTTTCTAGCTATGTGTTAGGCAAATCACTTAACTTTGAACTTCCATTTCCTCATATATAAAATAAGTATAACATTTCCTAACTCATTATGTCTGTGAGAAACTCACAGGCTTTCTGACTCAGAATCCACTGTCTACATCACTGTTACACTGTTTGTAAAGGCTCCTCCCAAATCTACCTCCTAGATGTTGCTTAACAAATGCTTATTTCCATCTTTATCTCTTAAGGCATTTGCGAGGCTAAAATTGTATAGTACATTTACCTTTTTAAAGTTCAAATATGGGAGCTCCAGTGGCACAATCGGTTAGCGTGTGGTACTTATAAAGTTCAAATATAAGCTATCCAAATGTAAGAAATTTAAAATGTCAGGGACTACATTTTTAGAGTGGTTAGAATTTCAATAACCATATTTTCATGGTGACTATATTAGTGATATAAGTTCATTGGAATTTTGGTGAAATGGGTACATGTTCCATTTTACCAATTTTTTTGGTTTTGTTTTAGCAGTCCAGTATTATGATAGGCAACAACCCTGCTTTATAGCCCATGTGGAAAATTTATATCAGATCTTAAAAATCAGTTCGTCATGATGTGTCTCAGAGTGAAAGTTGTAATGTTGAAAAAATGTGAAGCCACAAGAAAGAAAGGAATAATGCTGAACAGAAGAGAGTAAGGGCAGAGTTTGGATTCTTATTTGGTTGCTTTTGGAGTAATAAGAAATATACTTTTCCCTTAGGCATATTGCCTAGTTAGCAACAGTGTTTAGAAGACCGAAGTGTGGCTGGTGAAGTCTTTGAATGAAGGATGATGAACGTTCTTGGGTTCTTTCTGCTGGAGGAAGCTCATGTCTTTGCAACTTTGAATCAGAATCACTAAAATTTTAGTATCTGTTATCCTGGCATTTGCCAAAGCATATCTTTCCCATGCATACAATAAAAGTGAAAACTGTACTTATTTTCTACCATTTATGACCCTGAAATGGAGAAGATTATAATAAAGTGAAACAGGTAAAGAAATGGAATTACTATGAGCTTCTTTTGGGATTTTGACTTGTGTGTTGCTATGGATGAGGCATCATAAAGCTTCTGGAAGGCTGGGTGGTTCCAAAACGAGAAGAAGCTGGCCTTTAGAAATCCCATTCTACTAGGTTTATAACTGGATATTGTTCCATGATCATTTCTGGTTGGAAATATGTGATTTTAACCGACTGGTAACTAATCACTTTTATCTCTGGTTTATTCACAGAAGTTTCAATACAGAAAACCACAATGATGCGAGCCCAACTCCATTGCTTGTGTCTCCTTATACTTTATTTGGTAAGAGAAGAGGATGTTCTTTATTTATTTGCCAGAATATTTTCTGCCATTTTCTACCTCATACCAAGGAAATGATGATTATCATCACCTAAAAAAAAAAAAATCTATCAAAATTAAATTGTATACAAAGGACACGTAGTTTGCCCCACTGTGATATTTTTGATGAAATGACTACAAGTCAAATGTCTACTCTTCAACCAGGGAGGTACTTTCTCCTCAACTCTTAAAA